GATGAAAAAGCCATTGAGTGTGATGGACTGATTTTCCACATCTGTATGTCAGTCAGTATCTACTATCTATTTTTCTAATAATCTATCTATCTATCTATCATCTATCTATCTATCTATCATCTATCTATCTATTTCTCCAATCTGTGTTTCTGTTTCAAAGTATTTTGCAATGGATTCAATGAGCTAATTTCACTGGCAATCCTCCAACTTGAGACCATTCCTCAGTCCTGAGAATCACTTGCTTTTCTAAAAGATTCTGTCTCCTTTCTAATATCTAGCTATAGTTTTTCTTCATAAGAGCCAAGTTCAAATTAATTTTATATTGCCAATGTAAGACATGAATGCAATCTCCTTTTATGACTAATAAAACATTGCACACGAAGCTAATAATCCCCTTGACCTCTTAGCATCTTGAATTTTTCTCTTGGGGCATGCCTGCTGCTCATTTCAGATCTGAGTAGTTCCCCAGGAGGTGCATTTAATGCTCTTTGTCTGGAAGGGGAAGCTATTCACATAATGCATTTGGTGTGGTGATGAGAGGAGTATCACACTGTAGTGGCAAAAGTGGCATGGGGTTGAATAAATAGCGCTTCATGTTGCCGAAGTCTCTGTTCCAGCCCATAACTATCTTTTATATCCAGGAACATAAAATTCACTGTGTGTTTTGTATAAAGTGAAAATAGTGTGGGTTATAATATTATATTAAAATAGCTGTGATGTAGCTGTGGGAAGAATAACTTTAAAAAATATCATCTTTGGTGCTCAACATCATTCATCATCAGGGAAAGGCAAGTCAAAAACACAGTGAGGTATCAGCTTACACGTGTCAGAATGACTACAATCAAAAGACAAGAAAGAACATGTGTTGGTGAGGATGTGGAGAAAATGGAACTCTCGTGCACTGTTGGTGGGAATGCAAATTGATGCAGACACTGTGGAAAACACTATGGAGGTCCTCAAAAAATTAAAGAAAGAAACATCATACAATCCAGTAATTCCACTACTGAGTGTTTACTTAAAGGAAATGAGAACACTATTTCAAAAAATATATGCACCCCTACGTTTATAGCAGCATCATTTACAATAGCCAAGACATGGAAGCAACCCAAGTGTCCATCAATAGATGAATGGACAAAGAAGATGTGGTAGGAAGATAGATAGGTGATAGATAGATGATAGATAGATAATAGATATAGAGTGGAATATTATCAGTCATAAAAAATGAATGAAATCCTGCCATTTGCAACAACATGGATGAAGCTAGAGGGTTTAATGCTAAGTGAAATAAGCCAGTCAGAGAAAGACAAATACCATATGTGGAATTTAAGAAACAAAACAAATGAAGAAACAAAGAAAAAAAAGAGACAAACTAAAAAACCAACTCTTAAATACAAAGAACAAACATGGTTGCCAGAGGGGAGGTGAGTGAGGGAATGGGTGAAATGGATAAACTTCCAGTTACAAAGTAAGTCACAGAGATGAAAAGTACAGCATAGGGGATATAGTCAATAAGATTGTAAAGATGTTGTCTGGTGATAGTGACTACACTTATTGTGATGAGCACTGAGTAATGCATAGAATTATAGAATCCAGTTGTACACTGGAAACTAATGTAACACTGTTAATTATACTTCAATAAAAATAATCATCTTTGTTTAAATAAGGAATAAACTCTTAGTGTGCTAATTATACTGTCAATTTTAGAAGTTTTTTGTCTATATATGTACAGCAAAAGTTTTAATAAACACACATTGAACTGAATTTTCTGAAAAGTCTAGTAAAAGAGTTATGTATATTAAATATATTTTTCATAGATTCCATTTATAAACTAGAGATATATTCTATACCAAAAGCCTTGGATATTGCCAATGTCTCTAGAGGTAGAACCTGGAATACCAATTCACATTTCCACAAATGCTGATTTAAAATAGCATAGATGAAATTTTTTAGCCTATAGGTTTTAGAAAAGCATAATTCTCTATACACCAAAATATACAGTTTGTGTTTAATTTTTAAATTTTATTCTTTACCCTTTCTTCCTGAAGTGTGAACAAAATAAAAAAATATTTCTCTTTGGAAATAAGAATTATTTTGTGAATTAATTTATGAACATTGAGTTCTTACTAGATGACGGGCACTGTCCTGTGTGCTTTTACATGATTTCATTTAATCTTTATACTAGCTTCAAGAAATAGGTAGTATCTCTCTGTTTCAGGTGTGCAAAAGAGGAACCCTAGGCTCAGACAGGAGGGATGGATTGCTCAGCCTTAACCAGTTAGTAGAGATGGAGCTAAGAGTTGAATTGAGATTTCCGCCTGGCCAACCCTCTCTCCAGAATGGTGAACTTACTTGGTTCTTTTCATCCTGGCTCAGATTGGATATTCAGATATGTGTGGATTCGAACTAGTCTCTGCTTTAGAAGCTCCAAAAGTCATATGAGAGTTCATACTTTCTTTGTGTCTGGTTGCGGTTGTGGGGCATATTCAGTATTCAGCTGAGAACAAAGTTCCATTACATCTCCCATAGCACTATGAGAGGAAATGCCACAGACTCAGTGTCCTGTACCTTGATCAAACCCTTGTCTCTTTTTGCTTTGTGTATCCCAACATTCCTGGGCCTGTTTTTTTTTGTGAGTCTTACCTGTGGTTTCCTGCTGAAGCCATGGCCTCGAAATCCTGGCATAGCCTTTCCCACAGATCACGGCACAGAGGCGCTGCCACCTGGAGCAGGCTGTAAGGTTTAAAGGGATTTGGTTCAAAGACCCTTAGAGCAAGGAGGCACATTGCCAGGAGATGCAAAATGAGCTAGAGGTTTTGGGCAGGGGCCCTCAGGACAGAGAAATCCACACCATCATAAGACCAACCCCTCCTAATTTGTCTCAGGTGGGTGGTGTCTATTTTGAGACCCAACAGAAGGTGGGAAGACTCAGAGCTCCTGTTCCTTGTTGAACCCACCCCACTCTTCAAGTCTGAGGCCTACTGGGGTAAAGCCACCATGTACTTGTTTGGACTCCGTCTGTTCCTGACTCAGGAAACAACCCAGAACTTTCTTCCAGTACTCAGGTCTCTTTTGTGGTGTAGGAAAAGGAAGAGGTTGTGGGAGTTCCCAAGGGACTTTGATGTCCTTTGCTGCTGCAGTTGAGGACTTTGCGTTAGGCTCTTGTTTACCTTATGGTATGTTTCATGTCTAGCTCTCATCCAGTCAGGGACAAAGGACCTCGTATTGCAAGCCGTAACCTATGGGTCTGGATACTTCTTAAGTTATAAAGGAATATTTATTACTTCAAAGAGGGGAAATGAAACAAAGGGAAAAAGACACTGTAAAAAGAGAGTGTGGCTGGTCTTTCCCTCAAAGGAGGAGAGGAAGAAGGGAGAGCTGTGTTGCATTGACCACTGCAAATCATAAAATCACCCTAAGTAAGCCAGCAGTGTAAACGGACACTCTATAAACACACCACCAAGACTCAGGAAAAATCAGCCTGCACACAAGGAAGAATTCTTGGTAAAATGGAAAATATGTTTTACCCTTCTCCTCCCCGTTTTTAGAAGAGGTTTCTACCATTAGATATACCCTTCTTTAACCCTGAGGATAGTTTTCCTGGAGCTTCGTCACCCTCAGAACCAGATAAAATCTATAGAAAGGCACAGAGAACATTGTAAGGTCCAGCTCCAGAATCTCATAATGTAGCAACCATGTAATACCAAGTAACGTAGAGATTTACTCTCAACAGAAATGAAGAGTAATACTGAGCTAAAGGACATAAAATAAAGCTAGAATTACTACATCAAATAATTTCTGTGTGGGACATAAGCTCTCCAGGTCATCTCCCAATCTCAAAGATGTTTTCTTTTATATTAAAGGATTTCTAGGGACAAAACTCCCATGGTTTGCTTTGAAAGACTGTTTTATTGTTTTGTTTTGTTTTTAAAGATTTTATTTATTTATTTGACAGAGAGAGACACAGCAAGAGAGGGAACACAAGCAGGGTGAGTGGGAAATGGAGAAGCAGGCTTCCCGCTGAGCAGGGAGCCCGATGTGGGGCTCGATCCCAGGAACCTGGGATCATGACCTGAGCCAAAGGCAGACGCCTAACGACTGAACCACCCAGGCACCCCGAAAGACTGTTTTATTGTTCATCATCCTAAGCATCTAGGAATATTGCTTACAAATAACTGAATTTCTTGTCCCTCAGTGTTGGCTTATTTTCAGCCATGGGTAGGGTAGCGTATATATGCTTGGGGGCACCAGCAGAAATACATGAGAATAAACAGTTTGTCAGCTTCTAGTCTCAGAAACAATAGACACTGAAGTTGCCTCTCATGTCATACTCCACATGCTGAGAGGTTCAGATAAAATGTTTAGGGGGGGGCGCCTGGGTGGCTCAGTTGGTTAAGCGACTGCCTTCGGCTCAGGTCATGATCCTGGAGTCCCAGGATCAAGTCCCACATCGGGCTCCCTGCTCGGCAGGGAGTCTGCTTCTCCCTCTGACCCTCCTCCCTCTCATGCTCTCTGTCTCTCATTCTCTCTCTCGCAAATAAATAAATAAAATCTTGAAAAAAAAAATGTTTAGGGGGAAGACAGGAAGATGGGGAAGGATGAACTACATTCTAAACTATGCCAGTTCACAACAGAATGTTAGCTTGGTGTCTCTTGTCCACTTCTCTCCCACTTTGGAGATAAGATTGACTGGCTATGCAGTAATTTATTGTCTCCAGCAATGGTCTCTTTCATTGATCTTCTTGAGAAATTTAAAGAAAGACAGGTCCAAGTGAAAAAAGGAACAGTTGAGGTTAAAAAAGAAAGAAAGAAAGAAAATCTCAGAAAAATGTGGTACATTCAGTAGCTGAAAGTTATCTTTTTTCATCTGATTTTGATTTTTGGTGTAACCTCGGCTATCTTTTTGTGCCTACTCCATATTTTTCTCATAAGTGTAAAAATAGTGTAACACATTGCTAGCCCGGTGGACATGATGACTCACACATATATGTGCTTACACCTAGGTGTGTTTCAGTAGACCAGGAGTGGCCACGGCAGTTTTCGTTTTCTTGACATCTGATGGCCCAGTACTCAGAGAACATCAGCGGCCGACAGTGACTGTTCACCTGACCGATGTCAGTGGGAACAACCACTCTCTTGGTGAGTCTGACAGTGATCCCTTCAGGGCCACTAGAGGATGATTCAATAGACCCCAAAATCAGCTTGGCATCTGACTCTGACATTGTTTGGGACCTTGCCTACAGTACATAGCTGTTGAGAAGATAAAAGGAATGCTAGGTATGGAACACAGTGCTATATGAATGACTTACAGTATTATTCATCTCCTTATTTCTCTTCAGGAACCCATGAGCTGTCATGCCAGCATAACCCACTGGTTATCAATGTGACCCATCACCTGGCGGTCCTCTCCCACCATACCACCTCAGTGCTGCTGAATTTCTCATCCCCATTGGTGGGCATCTCAGCAGTGGCTCTAAGGACATCTTCCCACATAAGTCCTTCAACTCCCAATAAGTGCATCCCAGAGCATGAGGGGCAAAATCATCAGGGACAGAGGTACAGAGTCTCTTTTCTCCTTTTTTTTCTTTCTTTTTTTTGTGGTTGTGAGGTACTACTATCATTTTCATATATAGCATTTTGTTTTCAGTGGGTGCTTAATCACTAACTAAAAAGTGGGTCTAAAAACTACTAAAAAGACATAATAAACAAGCAAAGAACAACTCATAGAAGGTACACTTGGGTTTTACATTTTGCTCTTCTTTTCTTAACTGAGAATAATTTTTTTAATGTAAATATTTAACATCTTTACAAGGTCTTAAAATCTTTTTTACGTATAAAACCACTGCCTTCAAATCAACATGGTTATATAAACTGCCAAAAATTCTTTGCCAAAAACTCAGTGTTCCCTAAGCAATGTATATTTTTCCACTTGTTCCCACCTGGACAGTGTATACAGCAAGTTTCACAATTAGTTTTCAAGGCATGTCATATAATCAATTAGAGTTACATATGGAAATCAGGAATATATTATCTACATAGGTCTTTCTGTGGACATCTGTGATTGTCATCATCTAGATAGAGGTTTCCTGAACTCTCTGCCTCAGCTAGTAGAGGGATTGTACTTTATAGTGTTGGTGTGCCCAAGGGTGGCCCGAAGGTAGGAGGGAGCAGGCCATACAATGCTGTGTGCTGCAGGTGGGCTGGACTCATTCTATGAGTGGTTTAGTCAATGGAGTGGGACTACAGGTAACAGAGTTCATTCCCTCAAGGAGTGAGGTTTCAAGCAATTAGGATCCCAGTCACAAAAGCTTCCAGGCAGTGCTCAATCACCAAATAGGAGATTTGATACCACCATGCCCAAACCATGTATACCAGAAACCGAGATTTGATTAGGGACTGGGAGTAGACAGTAGTGTGTAGTATATCAGTTATCTTTTGCTGTATAGCAAATTATAGCAAAATTTAGTGGCTTATCACAGTTTCCATGAGTGAGGAATTTGGGTGCAACTTAGCTGGGTGCTTCTGGCTTAGAGTCTCTTATGAGGTTGCCATCAAGCTGTTGACCAAAGCTACCGCAACCTAAGGCTCAAGTGGAGCTGCAAATTTCACTTCCAAGCTCACCCATGTGGTGGTTGGCAGGCCTCAGATTATCTGCATCCAGGCTCACTCACATTGGTACTAGCAATAGGCATGCTCACATAGGCGTCGTTCAGTTCTTCACCATGTGGGCTTCTCTATAGCTGCCTGAGCATCCTATGATACAGCAGCTAATGATCCAACAGAGAAAAAGAGCCAGAGAGGGTAAGTACACAGAACACCACCCAAAAGCTACAGGAGGCCATAAAAAAGTTATAGCCTTTTTTTTTTTTTTTTTTTTTTTTTTTTTTTTTTAAGATTTTATTTATTTATTTGAGACAGAGAGAATGAGAGAGACAGAGAGCACATGAGAGGGGGGAGGGTCAGAGGGAGAAGCAGGCTCCCCGCCGAGCAGGGAGCCTGATGCGGGACTCGATCCTGGGACTCCAGGATCATGACCTGAGCCGAAGGCAGTCGCTTAACCAACTGAGCCACCCAGGCGCCCAAGTTATAGCCTTTTTAAAACATAATGTTGAAAGTGACAATCCATTACTTCTGGCATATTCTTTTCATTAGATATGAGTCAGTAAGTCCAGCCTATATTCAAGGGGAAGGGCATGAATCACTAGGGGCCATGTAAGAGGCCATCTACCACATACAGTAATAATAGTTTGTTAACTGAGTACTAATTGTGTGCCAGGTGTTGTTGTAAATGCTAGAAAGAGAAAAGCAATAAGGAATAGAGTCTGAATGTTGAAGTAACATTTGTCTGCAACTCTTAAGTATTCTTATTGAGCAAACATCTTCAAATATTAACACAGGAATGTAGACTATTAAAATAACATTGTTTACTAGAATTATTGCCTCTCTCCTAGGTTTTTTCAAATGATTTTCTTTACTGGCTCTACCTCTGGCCTCAAGCCATACAGAATTTCTTTCAGGTCCCGGAGACATGTGTTCTTGATGAGTTTCATGTCTTTGCACATTATGTTCCTACTTTCTTGAATACCTTCCAGCCCTTCTTCACTTCAACTCATACTTCACCATCAGGATTCACCTTCTGTGAAATCTTGGCAAACTCCTTGCCTGTTTCTGTAGGGCATTGTACATAACCCACACTCTGCAGAAACAACTATCCCATTGGGTGATAACTATTTGTTTACTTGTTGTTCTTTTCCACTAAGCTTTGAACTCTCTCTAGTGGAAATTCCATGCGGTATCTTTCAGTACCTAGCAGACGGCCTGGCACATAGTAGGTGTCAGAAACACTGTTGAATGATAGTAACAGACTTTATCTCTAAATGCTGGATGGAACAGAACTAAACAAGAAAACCAGAAAAAGTAGAAGTCATAGCCTCTCCAGACCTGAGGGACAAGAATTCCCCTCACCATCACAGCTGTGAAGTTCTGACAAAGAAGGAGATTAATTGTGATCACTGCTGCTCGTTCACTTATTTTCATTTGGCACTGTGGGAAAAACAAGCTTTATATGCATGCATGCAAACCAGTAGAAATAGGATATGATTCTCCAGTTTACACAGAGTGTATGTGGAATGCACAAGCATTTCCAAACCACATGTGACTGACAGGAGCCATGCAAATTGGCTTCCCTTCTCAGCCAGCAAATCAGTGCAATATAGTAAATTTTGATACACAGGGAACCTAATAGATTTCATATATTTTCTTTGTGAACGGATTTAAAATCTGAATCCCTATGTACTCTCAAAAAATAGAAGATTTTTTTATATCTTTATATCAATCCCAGTTGTAGATGTGGATAGATCATAATATGAAACCCTCAAATTCTGGGCATAGTGAGAGGGATTCCTGGCTACCTCATTTTTACCCCTTATGACCTGAATTCCATTAATACTAAAATGGGCAATGGAGAGCTGACAGATGCCTGGCAGTAGAGGATGTATTATCCACTCTGTATTTAACCATTAATGACCAATGGCCCGTCCCTCCTACAACTCTGCGTCTTTAAACCTGCCCAGCTGGCCCACAGAATCTCAGCTGAAGGCCAATAAACCTGTCTGGCTCTCCAGTGATGTTTATGAACTTTACCTTAGACCCTTTAGCTTTGGTCTCTCTCTTCATCTTGTTTCTCGTTCTGCTATGATGGCTACCAGTTTATGACCCTTTGGGCTTAGTCTACTGATAATGAACCATTAGTCTTGAACACCAAGTTTTGTGTTCCTGGTTTTGGCCACTGGTGCTCAATTGGAGCTCAATTCACTCCTTCTTTCTGGCTGTTTCTAGCTCTAGCCATTTAGGTAAAGGTCCTGCATAACCTGCCACAGCATCCCATGAGTTGGAGAATCAGGCAGACCCCCAACCATGCCAGGATTGTGTTGATGGCTTTGGGAAGTGGGAACCACTTTTGTGATAAATGCAATGAGATTTAGAATGTATCCGAGATATACTCCAGGCACTGATAGGTTACTTTGAGTAAATGAGAGGAATTAGCTTCCAGATAATCAGGACTCTAATTTAATCAGGACTCTTATTACCTACTTTGGAAATTCACACAGTCAAGTTTAGAAGAATTTACTAATAGGCAAGAATTGCTGATGGGCATGTAATTTCTCCTACAACAGAATTTTGTTCTTCTAGTTACATGAACATAATGTAAAGGAAACATTGATTGTAACTTCTCTACTCCTACAAGATGATAAATGCAACAGATCCCCCAGCATTGAATCTTCTGAGGATGAACATCATCTCCTTCTCCAGGGCATGGGCTGATTACAATGGTTGAAACTTCTGACCACTCCTTTCTTTGCAACATTTGCACTTTCTGTCTTACTGATTTTTTCATCGACCTTCTCCATAACAGGTTGCTGTGTAATCTCCCAAACAACTGTGCTTCCTTAACTTTTCCTTGTATTTTAAAGAGTTCTGGCTTTTTATAATTTGACGTTACAGAATTAGGTGCATAACTGCTTGTGACTCTTTTATCTTCATTAGGATCATACCTTGTGCCAACCCTTTTGCTCTGTTAAATGCTTTTGGTTTTGTATTCTACCTTGTCTGGAATTTAAATTTCCATCCCTGCTTTCCTTCTGTTTATATTTATTTGGTAAATACTTGCCTTTCATTTATTTTTAACATTCTGCTATCTTCATTGCCAATGAGCCCAGGGCATATTGCTCCATGGCACTGTTTATTCTGAAAATTTATTTCATGGTCCTCAAGCTTCTAGTATCTTTAGGACCCTGTAGTATTTTTACCTTTGGGACATTTATCTTCCAGGATTCCATGGCTTTTGCCAGTGGTTCTCCCTCGCCCCCCACTCTCTCCCACCCCACTGGACCAAGACCCTCATGCTTCCTGACCTGAAGTCTTAAAGTCAGTAATGAAAGGGTGGTACTGATGAGGACTAAAGGACAAAAAACAGATCTGTGACCCCTGAAACGCAGTGCCCAGTTTGCCAATCTCAAGAGAAGCCAGAGAATGAGGAAAGAATGACCCTTTTCCCCTCTCCTTTTAGCATGGCTTTATTCCTTATTTGCTTTTTTTCCCCCCTCAGGAAAAAAAATGCATGCTTTGGCTTCCAGTGATGTTTCTCAATTCAACTCCAATACATTTTGAAATCAGGAGGAAATCCTCACAGATTCCAGCTGTCCGTCTTGGTTTTTGATACTGATAAGAGTTTTCATATTTTTTTCTGTTGGAATTTAAGTGGGAAGCAGGGGAAAATGACCTCATAGCATTCTTGTGAGATTAACCGAGAAGCATACATGTGGAGTGCATAGTACATGCTAGCACCAGGCAGGAGCACCGCCCATATAAGCTTTCACACTATTCCTCATCTTTGTTTTTCTCCATTCCTCTTTTTACAAGGTGTGCCACTGATCAGTTTCTTGCTTCTCAGCTCTCAGGTCACTCTCAACATGTGCATGTGTAAATACTAGAACAGGATTTTATTGATATTTATCCTTTGCCAGCTGACACAGTGTTCAGCTTTGTCAGAAGTG